CTCGATGCAGCCCAGTGTGCTACCCTCACTCCAGTCTCAGGAGAAGGTCTCCATGCATGCTGTCTGGCTCTGACTTTCCCTATCCTGGATGTGGCCCAGGAGCCCCAGGCAACCCAAGGGACTTTCTTTTTTCTTTTTTTAAGATTTTATTTAGTTACTTGAGAGGCAGAGTTACAGACAGTGAGAGGGAGAGACACAGAGAGAGGTCTTCCTTCCTCTGGTTCACCCCCAAAATGGCCACAATGGCCGGAGCTATGTTAATCTGAAGCCAGGAGCCAGGGGCTTCTTCTGGGTATCCCATGTGGGTTCAGGGACTCTAGCACTTGGGTCATCTTCTACTGCTTTCCCAGGCCACAGCAGAGAGCTGGATTGGAAAAGGAGCAGCTGGGACTAGAACTGTTGCCCATATGGGATGCTGGAGCCTCAGGAAGAAGATTAACCTACTGTGCCACTGTGCCGGCCCCTCAAGGGACTTTCTGCCATGACCCTCAGCAGTTTGCTAGGTAAGCTTGCCTCAACTCACTACATGCTGGTAAAAGCCCTCTTTCTCCCATCTTTTAACCAGACAACCACCTCCAGTGTGTAGAGTTAGTCACGCAATGCCCTGTCACTCAATTGCTGGCCACACACAACACAGATGCCCACATCAATGACACACTCCTGGAAGGAGGCTAGAAATAATGACATGCTCCTGTTCGGCACAAGCTGTGGGGTGTTTTCCCTTGGTCCTGTGCCGGCTGTCTGCTCCCTTACACCCTCTTGTGACCAGCTTCACTTGTGTGTAGCCAGTGAGGGTAGGTAGGAGTTACAGTTGGAGAGTCTGTATACAGATGGAGCCCCCAGCATGTCCTTCCTGATGCTGCTTCTCACCACAGTTGGCCTTGCTGGAGCTGTTGTGCCATGACGCATAGTTCTAGCTTCACACAGAGACAGGAGAAGGGAGTGTTCCACCATGGGTGGCCTGGGCTCCAGATGAACCCACCCCATTTCTAGAAAAAGCAGTTGGTGTTACTGCCATGCAACATGGTCAACGGGCAGAAGAACAGGCCAGGAACCCACCTACGGTTCAAAGAGGGATCCAGCAGGAGTAAACGTGGCCCCATCCCTGTGTTCCCAGGTACCTGCTTCATTTGGTTATGAAATCTAACAATGCTGTAAGTTGAGAGAAACCCAGTGCTTCATCTGGCTTTTAGTCTTGTTTTGTTTTTACAATTTAGTAAAGTTAAAGGGTATTCATGGTATCTTCTGTGGTAGGCACAATAATGGCCCCTCAAAGGTATCTGCATCCCTTCCTGGAACCTGTAAATGCTCAGATGTCACCTTTGCAGGTGTGATGACATGGAGAAGCACACAATGGAGAATGAGCCTGGATTATTCAGGCAGGCCCAGGAGTCACAGAGGGAGACAGAGAAGAAGACATGATGATGGGAATTGAGTCGGAGAAACACAGAATGAGAAAGACCAGGCCAGCCACTGCTGGCTTTGAAGATGAAAGAGGACCACAACCAAGCAACACAGGATACTCCAGAAACTGTAAAAGGCAAGGAGACGAATCCTCTCTGAGACTGCAGGAGGCAGGCAGCCCTGCCAACACATTCATTTCAGCCCAGCAGGACCATTTCAGATGTCTAAGCATCAAAATTGTAAGACAGCAAATGGGTGTTGCTTTAAGCACCCACATTTGTGGGAATGGGTTACAGCAGCAGTTAGGAAACCAACACCCTTTCCTTAGGAAATCCTACACTTCCCAAGGACAGGAACCCATGGCATTGCCCACAGTCGCACTTAATCAATATTTGTGGAGTGGACCTACTTGACCTTGCTCCATGAATAATCTTGTCCAAGACGCTCGGGTTACCCCAGTTCACATAATCACTCAGGGCTTAGAACTGATAATGCACCAGGCTTGGACCAGAAGCTTCTTGAGGGGTGGGGCCCTGGCTGTTCAGCTGGTGCATATGCTCTGCACACAGTGCCAGGCACGGACTGATATGAGCCTCAAGGCCCCCCGGGAGTCACTGGTAACAGGAAGCTAGAACCACACTGGCTTCAGGAGCAAGGGGGAGAGGAGAAAGGATGCAGAGGACACTGCGGATCTGCGGAAATGTCCGGGACTTCTAAGGGCTAGGAAGGCCCTGCCCTGCCCCCACTCCAGAGCCTCTTTCTAGGGCCCCGCCGTCCGACTTCCAGGAAAGCATCTGATATTTGCAGCATATGCTGCGAATTTATATCAGTGAGTCACCTCCGCCTGGAGGACAGGCAAACCTTGTCTGATTGAGCCTCACAAATTTTTTTTTTTTTTTTGCAAACTGAAGGTTTGTGGCAACCTGTTTTCTAATAGTATGGTGATCGTCAGCATTTTTTAGCAATAAAATACTTTTAATTGAGGTACATTGTTTTCTTAGAGACAATGCTATTGCACACGGAATAGATTACAGTATAGTGTAATAGTGGTAGATTTCATATGAACTGGGAATCCAAAAACTCATGTGACTCACTTGATTGCAATATTTGCTTGTTGACAGTGGCCTGGAACAAAACCCAAAGTATCTCTGTTGTGTTCTCTCTGCATCTGGTTCTAAATGTGTTCCATGCTTTTTGCTAAAGAGTTTCCAGGACTGCTCTTGCCACACCTCAGAGTCCCTGTGCAGTCAGCATCCCACACCGGCCTTGCTCGGACCGCTGATGGCAAGAGCGTGTGGTAGCACCGAGTTAAACTAAAACCTTTAACACTGCACACTAGCCCTGTGCAGAGACGAGCAGGTGGAACTGTCGCCAGTTCTTTAGATAGATCCCCGGATGCTTTCAAGGCCAGTTCATGACGCAGAGCAGTGGGACAATCACTGTAGGATTATGTGGATTTGTGCATAAGGATGGGGGAAAATGGAATGGTTTAGGAAGAAACCTAGACCCCTGCTCTGAGTGAGGAGAAGATGCGTGGCTCCATTAGCTACAATTTGAAGACAGTGCAAAGAGGAAGTCTCAGAGCAGACAGACAGAACATCCTGTTGTGAGTCTGGTGCCTCCCAGCAGCCTGCTGCAGACCCACGTGGGGACGCGCAAGCCTAAGGTGAAGCTATGGGTTCTAGGGCCAGGACAGAGGTACTGCCTGGAGTCACCAGTGTCGGAACTGATGACAGGAGAAGAGCTTAGCAGTTTAGATCTTCCAGGGTCAGAAGAGCAAAGGGCAGGGGCAGAACCCCTGATCAACACCAACACTTAAGAAAACAGATAAGGCCGGCATTTTGTATAGCAGGTAAAGCTACCACCCACGGCACCAGCATCCCCTGTGGGCACCTGTCTGAGTCCCAGCTGCTCCACTTCCAATCCCACTCTCTGCTACAGCCCAGGAAAGCAGCAGAAGATGGCCTGAGTGCTTGGGCCCCTGCCACCACAAAGGAAACCCAGATAAAGCTCCTGGCTTCTGCCTGGCCCAGCCCTGGCCATTGCTGCCATCTGGGGAGTGAACTAGTAAATGGAAAATCAATCTCTCTCTCTCTCTCTCTCTCTCTCTCTCTCTCTCTCTCTCCTGTCTTTATCTCCATGTAACTCTCACTTTCAAATAAATACAAAAATCTTAAAAAAAAAAAAGGCAAAGAAAACAGGTAGAAAATCTGATAGGGACACTGAGGACAGAAAGTGGCATGGAGGGTCAGGTCAGCCAGGAAATGTGGTCTTCTATAGGCAAAAGAAGGGATGACTTCAAGAAGGCACGAGTCAGGACCACAGGCCCAGAGAGAGGGCCCGGGCAGGGCAGCAGCAGCTTCTGTAGGGGTGTATACACGTTGTGTGTGTATATCCCTGTGTGTGTGTGTGTCATGCATGTGTTTCTATGTGTTGTATGTTTGTCCTGTGTATCTGCATGGAGCAGGGGCAGAAATGAAATGACAGAGGACAGGGACTGAATGGCAACAGAAGACAAGGAGATGGCAGGTGGGAGCTATTTTTCTTAAGAAGCAAGCAAGTGGGGCCAGCGCTGCGGCACAGTAGGTTAAGACTCCGCCTGTGGTGCCAGCATCCCATATGGGTATGGGTTCATGTCCTGGCTGCTTCTCTTCCAATCCAGCTCTCTGCTATGGCCTGGGAAAGCAGTAGAAGACTGCCCAAGTGTTTGGGCTCCTGCACCATGGGAGAGACCCGGAAGAAGCTCCTGACTCCTGGCTCGCAATCAGCCCAGCTCAGGCTGTTGTGACCATTTGGAGAGTGAACCAGCAGATGGAAAACCTTTCTCTCTGTCTCTCCCTCTCTCTGTAACTGACTCTCAAGTAAATAAATAAATCTTTAGAGAGAGAGAAGCAGGCAAGTGAGGGGAGGAACAAAATGGGGCAAGAGCTTGAGAGGAAACCAAGATCAAGAAGAAGTGTTTTGTTTTGCTGTATAATGAAGGAAATCTTGGGGCCAGCATTGTAGCACAGCAGGTTAAGCTGCCACTTGCAACACTGGCATCTAACATTGAAGCACTGGTTTGAGTCCCAGCTACTCTGTTTCTAATCCAGCTCCCTGCTAATGCACCTGGGAGAGCAGCAGAAGATGGTTCAAGTCACTGGGCCTCCACACCCATGTGGAAGACCCAGATGGAGTTCCAGGCGCCTGGCTTTGGCTTGGCCCCAGCCTAGGTGGTGTAGGCATTTGAGGGGGGTGAACCAGCAGATACAAGATATCTATCTGATATAACCAGCAAATAGAAAATCTCTCTCTCCCTCTGTCTCTCCCCCAGCTCCATCATTTTGTTTTTCAAATCAATCAATCACATGCATAATTAAAGCTTCCGTATTATAAGCATTTAGCCCATGGGGGAGAAATGTAGAAGTCCATGAGCAAAAAATCAGAAGTCTGGGCTGGGAGGACCCAGCAGAACTAAGCATGCACACTGCCCAGGGGGTGGGGGTGGGGGTGGGGGTGAGGGTGAGGGTGAGGGCAGTGACATCATCACCTGGCTGCAAGGGTGGAGAAGGCTCCTCCCTGTGGCTCCCACGTGGCTTTGCCCCAAGCAGTCTCACCTCGTGGAGTTTGTCAGCCTTCTGGGTCTGCTTCTTCCGACTTCTCTGAGCAGCAACTCGGTTTTTTTCTCTCCTTCGCACCTTCCTGTCATCATCCTCAGGGCTCTGGGGAGTGAGGGGGGTAGGGAGAGACATTCGGTGAGGTTTGAAGTTGAGACCCTTCACTCTGCCCTCTCTTTGCTCAGCGCTGTTCACTGGGCTCCACCACGGTAGGAGTATTTGCAATCAACATCCGTGTTCATTGCTACCCCAGTGGGCTCAGGGTTGAGGACCACTCCCTGGGGGCCATGCCACCTACCCTGAAAAATGGGGTGTGACCGCCATCTAAAAAGATGAGGAATAAGAAACCCAGACAGGTTAAGGAACTTGCTGCAGGTACCAGCTAGTGAGTGAGGGAGTAGGAAGTGGAACTCAGGTCTGTTAGTCTCCAAACCACCGTTGGCAAACCTCTACCCCACAGGGCGTGTGCCTGGAAGAGCTGTGGTGTCAGTGCTGCCGGGGCAGACTGGGAAAGCTAGGGGCATAGCTGTGTGGAGCTTGCTGGACGCCAGCCCTCACGCGGCCAGGCCGAGCAGGTCCTCGGGAGAGTGGCTGCAGGCCGCGCTTACACTCGCACCTGACGGCAAACACGTGACGCCACCAACACGCCAAGCGATCTGAAGTGCCCTGGCAACGTGCTCATTTGAACAATGTGTGGCTGACATTGCTTCAGAGGTTACAGTGAATCAGAAAGCAAAGTTATGATGTGTCCTGAAAACTCTTAGCTTCACACGAGATCTGAGCCAAACTTAGTCAACTCCTTCAAGGGGGAATCGTGAAACAGGGAGACCGAAAAACAGAGCTACTACACAAAAACTCTGCAGCCAGTTACAGAAATCATGGAAAAGAAGAGCAGTATTTGCTTTCCAGAGCCCAGTGAGAAGATATCAAGGGAAAACACACACACACACACACAAAAACAAACCTTCTTTCTAAAGAGTCTAAAAACCAAGAGGTTAGTGGGGTTGCAAACACAGAAAGCTACTCAATTATTCATGGAAAGCAAATAACACAAACTAATGGATATTTTAAGTTATCTTATCTGGCCTTGCATTCCAAATAAGACAGGCACATATCATCTCCCCAACTTCCAGTAGGAAAGAAGTCCCAGCATATGCAAAAATATAAAGATATAAAAGGAGAAGAATAAATAGTTTACATTATAATAGAATTAGTCTTGTGTCAAGGCTTGAGGGAACAGAGACAGGTGTAACAAGGTAATCTTGTAGAGAGGCCAAGAAGTCTTGCTAAAGACACGCAGACCATCAAGGATCCTGGCTTTGTCTCTTACTGTCAGATGGCCTGGAGTAAATGACCGAACTTCTCCGAGTTTTCCGTTCCCGACTGTGATTCATTCATTCTTTCGGAGCACCTGCAGGTGTGCTAGGCACTGCCTATGTGCTGGGGACACAATTCCTGAACAGATGTCGGTGCTCCCCGCTGCCTTCGGCCAACAGCCTGGCGCTGGGGGCTGGCACCGGACACAGCGAGATTCTATCCTGAAGCTCCCGTGGGCACGCAGCCTGCTCTCCTGAAGCTACCTGCCCTAACCGAGGCTGCTGTTTTTAATTGAATCTTCACAGTGCTTTTCACTAAATCATGCCTCTGGGAGCTGACACGCTCAACTGGATTTATTACCTATCAGGGATGCGTGTCACACCTGCCCGCCCGGCAGAACTACTTAAGGCAGAAAGAGGGGAGTACAATTTTGAGATGTTCCTATATGATGAAGCACGTCTCACTCAGTTTTCACAAAAATCCTAGGAGGTCGACGTTATTCTACTCATTTCACAAATGGGGAAACCGAGGCACGGAGAGATTAAGCGAATTGCCGAGGCTGCTCAGCCTGGGTGGCGATGCCGAGGCCCAAAGGCGCCGGACACCCACCGGGGAGAGAGCGCGAGAACCAGCCCCAACCGCCGCCAAGCGGAGCTGGGCGCTAAGGCTCCGAGGGGCCGTCCCCGCCGCCGGCAGCCTAGTCCCAGTTTTCTGCGTGCACAGCTCTAAGTGCTGCTGGGGACGGCGCGGAGGACCGACTGGGAGCCGGGAGGGGGGGTAGGGGGACGAGGGGGTTCTACCAGAGCTGGGGGTGGAGTCTCCCCGCCGCGGCCCCCGCCCCACACCCCCAGGCTGACCCGTACCGCGTTCCCCATTCCAGCAGCCGCCAGAGGAGGGTGGGTGTTGGGAGTGGCTGGGGACGAGCCGCCCCTTTGGGTTGAAGGGCCCCTCCGGAAACGCCGGCTGCGGGGTGGTGGCCTTCGGCGGCGCCCGGACCGACGGCCCTGGGGCAGCGTGGACCCCACGTGCCAGGATGCGCGGGCAGTGCCCTGCCACAGTGGACGTCCGCTCCCTGCGGTCCTTTCCACTCTCGGAGGACTCGGAGCCCTCCCAGGCGCGGCCGAAGCGCACGCCGGGACCCCCGGGCCATCGCCCCCACGCCCCTAGTCCCACTCGTCTCTGGCGCCGGCAGCGCCCTCCACCCGCGAGCCCCCGCGGCCCTCCCAGAGTCTCTCGCCCACTACCTGCGGCTGCTGCTGATGCCCCGGCGCCGCGACGCTCCTCTGCAGGACGCCGCCAGCGGCCGGGAGCCCCTGCGACATGCCGGGCGCTGGTGCAGCCGGCCCGCCCCGCGCGCAGCCCGGTGGAGGCGCGGCCCGGCCCGCGGCGCCCTGCACGCGGGGCCCGGGCTACGAGCGCCCTCCGACCGCCCGCATCGCCTCGCCCGCACCTGGCCGTCGGCTAGCGCCCCGCCCCCGCGGGCTTCCCGCTCTCCCGGCTCGCCGGCGCCGCGCGTCCGCCCGGGCTCCCCACCCCCGGGTCGCGGCCCGCGGTCCTTCCCGTCCCCAAGTGCGCCCCGCCTCCTTCTCCCACCTCCGCCCCGTTTCCTCCTCTCCCCGCCCTCTGCTGCGCCTCGGGGTCCCCAATCCCACCTCAGGCGCGGCTTTTCGCTGGGGCCCCGAAGTCACGTGGCGGCTCGGAAACCGAGGAGGGAACGCGACGCCCACCCGCGGGAGGCGACGCTGGGGTGGGTGGGGGTCGGGAGGCACAGCCTTGGGGGCACTCGGGGTGAGAAACGCAGCTGGGTGGTCGGGGGTGGTGGTTTTGTCTGCGCATTGCCTACGTCTCCCTGCCGCCCCCCAGCCCCGGCGGGAGTCGGGCTTTGGGGTCTCTCTCCGGGCACTCGGCCTTCGGGTCGCCACCGTCACTCGGTCCTCAGCCCAGGAGGCGCAGGCGCGGGGAGGGGCGGCAGCCTCACGCGTCGCGCGGCGTGTTCAAAGGGGGGGGGTTCCCGGCCTTTTCTGCGGGGAGGACTTGCCCTTTTCTGTTGCCGGGCCCTGCAGGAGGGAGGAAAGGACAGAGAGACGAGCCGTCTCCGACGCGTTGATTCGGTGAGCCCGAAGACGTGGGCAGGGGCCACTGTCCTGGACGGGAACAGTGACGGCCGTCCCAGGGAGCGAATCCCACACGTTGGACAACGTCTCTGGCGACCGGATCAGGACTGTGGCCCCATCATCCTGAAGTCAGATGGACCAGAACCGTTTCCTTGTTCAAGATTGGAGCGGCAGGTGCCCTGCCTGTAGGTTTAAGATGTGTGGTTGCTGCCACACGCCCATGCCGCAGCGGGGACAGGGCAAAGGCAGGGCGTATTGCACCCCCCACCCCCAACCTGTCTGCCACTTAATAAGTGTTGAACGTGGTTCCAGCAAATAAAGAACGAGCGGTTACCGGCTTGAGGTCTGCGAGGAGTCAGCGCCGGGAAGGGAAGCGAGCCGCGACTCCGAGTGGGCGGGTGGGCAGGTCACAAATGCCTTCCCAGTGTAGTCGCTGAGGCCTTCAGGTTTGTGGGCAGCGGGGGGGATGGGGCACGAGAAATTCTGATTCCCAGGCCAGGGCACGTGACTGTCGGCCAGGATTTAAGACTCGTCTTCAAAGCCTTCAGAGCAGCAGGAAAGCCAGTGGGAAGTCCGGGAGAGCAGGGGAGCTGGGCGGTAGGGAAGAGGCGAGAGGGCGCAGGGCAGACGGGGACTGGGGGCGGGGGGGGGGAATACTCTTTCAGATCCCTGTGTCGCACCCCGCGCAGGCCAGCACCTCGAACAGGTGCACACGATGTACCCAGCACAGCGCACCACATATCTCAGGTGCTCGATAAAGCTATTGCGGGAGGTCAGCTGAGATCTCTAATTCTGGAAAAATTACACGGACTCAGAGAAGACAGGGGAACACTGGGTGAAGTGGTTGTAACATTCAGAAGCACTGTTATCTCCGATGCTGTGTGCGCATGCGAAGGACAGGGTCTCAGCACCACTGGACACTCAGGTGCACGCCCTGATTCCGGTCGTTGGCACTTTTCTGTTCTCCCCGAGCCTCGACACATTCTAAGTCCTCTGGGGCTGTAGCTTCCTTGCATCTCCCCGTGGAGCCTGGGACCCTTCGGCTATACATAAGAACTCTGTGTGGGCACGGTCCACTGGAATGTTGTGCAAGGGTTTCTTCAAACACATATGAAGGAGGAGTCTTGGTTAACCAGTTAGCATTTAGAGAAGAGATCAGTTTGACACATAGATCCTACCTCAGAATGAATAGATTAGGCAGTTAGAAATAAAAATCAAGGAGACAAGGCAGAATTAACTTCTTATTAAAGCTCTTGGGGACAAGACAAGGAAAGGCTTTTCTAAGACTACAAGTGATAGGAGAAATGACATTGATAAAATCTGAATACAAAAATGCTGAATTTAGATGACAAGATAACCAGAAATTTAAAACAAACAGATTGGGACAATATGGTGTATATGAGGAAAGTTTAAAATCTCGATTGTATATGCATCCTATGAAATGGAATAGGAAAAACACTAAGAAAGCCCCCTCCCTCCAGCACAAACTGAACAAGTCACGTGAACTGGGATTTCCCAACAAAAGAAATAACCAGGAAAAATAGATATTGGAAAAATACATTAAAGTAAGAATCCTTTCGAAATATTAAATTAGGAAAATATCTTACTGGAATCAGTAAATCTTCACTGGCATCACTGGAAAGCAATTTTATTGAAATTTTCAAGAACCATAAAAGAATCATCATTTTGACTCAGGCTCCCCACTTCTGGAAAATCATTCTAGGACAATCATAGAAAACACTAGCAAGAAAAATGGTAGGAGCACTAAAGTTCATAAAGTGAAAAATCATCATCAATGTAGATGAACAATTAGAGTTGAATAGTTAAGCAAAATATATTATTGCCAGAAGATAGAACACCGTGCATCTTAAAAATTACAGCATACAGACAGATCTGCCACATGGATGATTTATTTGATATGAGGTAAGGTGAGGAAAAAAATCAGGACACAAAAAGTACATGTATAACTTGCAGGCTACAATGTGTGCGTGTGAGGAAAGATCGGAAGACAGTACACCAAGGCAGTAGCTTTTCTCTTGTGGCAGTGGAATTAATTTATTTTACCTGTCTTTAAAAGTTTTTTGAATAATTGCTTTATTATGTTAGCATCTTCAAACACTTCATATTTGTGAGGAACCGAAATGCATGTGTATCCTTGCCTTCCCTGTGGCTCAGACACAATGCCAGCACTTCCTTGGTCATCTGCCCATGTGTTTCCTTGCTTTTCTGTTAATGTTTTCTGCTTCATTTTCTCCTCCTAAAGTCGGAAGGAGAAAGAAAAATGAGAATGAAGAAAAGACAAACAAGAACAAATATTTCAAATGTTGTCGTCCCTTCTTTTGCGTGTGTGTGTGGTTCCCCTTAAGCTGGGAACAGAAATTATCCTGTTTGGCAATTTCCTATTAATACCACAATGACCCTGGATTACATGTTTGGAGCTGAGGGAGAGAGTGTGGGAGGTTTGCAGCTCAATGATCAAATCCTCTGGTGATTCATTCACTTCACGCGAAGGCAGTTCTTACAAAAACATGTTGCTCAGATGCTAGAAAACCCCACTGTGGGGTCATCGTTGCTTTTCTCTTTGAGGGAAACTGGCCTTTCAGGATTTGTACTCTCACTGCTCTTTCTCAGAAGGTGATCCTGCAGGACTGGCTTCTGGTGTGGCCAGAGAATAGAAAGTTGACGCAGAGACCTTGGAGTTCAAGGAAGTCAGCCCCTGTGTCTCAGGCACTGGTCCAGGCAGAGGATTCAGCCGACGACAAAAGAACCACAGCTCATGCACCTCACACAGCTCACTGTCTGAAGGCACCAAATAGCAAAAGGTAGTGCTGGATGGCCATGCGGTCTATGGGTAAACGCTAAGCAAGTCAGACCTTGCCATCAGTACCACCTCTACAAGGTGCTTGCAGTTGAAGAGGGAAAATACAGATGATGCATTTACCCAAATGGCAGGTATCAAATGAGGGGATTCTACACTCTTACCATGAGAGAGTCATTTGGGGGAGAGCACCCAATAATTTTGCTCGGTTTTTATCCTCTTGCCCTTATGCATTGAATTGGCCCCATCTCATTAGAAAGGGGTAGAGGGAAAATGAAAAAAAAAAAAAAGGCTGATGAAGAAAAAGAGGAGGGGACAGCGAAAGAAGAGGTTCCTAGTGGAATGCCGGCGAGGGACTCCAAGTCATAGAAGGTTCTGGAATGCAGACAGGGACGTTCAAGTGACTGGTTCTCTACCCTGATTCTCTCCCTCTCCCTCTCTCCCTTCTACTCATACCTCCCCTTCCTATCTCCCCAAGTTTCGTAGGACCTGAGGCTGATACCACTTGGAGCATCTTTTTTAAGAAAAGTCATTCAAGAGTAGATATTAAAGTTAAGATTTAATTAGGATGAGTAAAACAGATCTTAACAAAATACTACAAAATCACAGAAATCCAGAAAGAAACATACTTACTTCTTTCATTAATGGCTGTCAAACTTCACAGATTTTTTTTAACATTTTTTGGCTGCATATTCTTTTATCACTTCTGCATACAACAATGCTTTTGAAAGTTATTTTTTAAAGATTTTTTTTTCATTTATTTATTTGAAGGCAGAGTAACAGAGACAGAGGGAGAGAGGGAGCTTCCTCTTGCTGGTTCACTCCCCAAATGCCTGCAACAGCCAGGGCCACAGGACAAGCCAAGTCAGGAACCAGAACTCCATCTGGCTCTCCCATGTGGTGGCAAGATTGGGCCATGATCTGCTACCTCCAAAGCACATTAGCAGGAAGCTTGATCAGAAGCAGGGGTGCTGGGACTTGAACCTGTGCTCTGATATGGGATGCTGGCATCCCGAGTGCTGGCTTCACCTGCTGCATCACAATGCTCAACCTTGAAAGCCCAACTGGGCTCGCAGTGTGGTCAAGTGTGCACAGGGTGGGTGAGAACTTGCCTTTCGATTAGGCTGCCCTGAGAATGGAATCCTCCATTTTCACACAGCCCAGTGACTAGATGATTGACATCCTCTAGCTGATGCACACATTTCATACCACCACTGTGCACTTCCTTCTGCTGGCACTGCAGGATGCGAATATCCCAGTACCCTCTGGCCCTGCACCTTCACGGGCCCTGCCCTGGCCTGGTGGGCATGAGAAGTGTCCTGGAAGCCATGCTTACATCAGTGCCCCAGCAAGAACAACTCTGCTTCTATGCACAACCCAAACTCAGTGAATACCAACTCAGCTCCCCTTAGTCTGCTCTCAAAATCACCGCTGCTGACCCCGGTGCCCATTGGAGATATTGGGGGGGAGGGAACCAGAGTGGACAGACAGCAGTCTTAGCCAACGTCAGTTAAGATACTGGTCTTTTGCTGAACTTACATGGGACTGTGTGGATGCAGCACTGTGACCCCTCCCAGGGCTTGGGAGGAGTTTGGGCGGTGGATGGGCTGAAGCCTCCCTCTC